TGCTCCATGGGTCTCTCAAATTTGTCACATCTTGTGAGGAGTGAACTGGTTGTTTCTGGGCTGTCTTTGCAAGGATGTTTTTATAGCAAGCAGCTTTGGAGAGTGGAAATAATGACTTTCTCCAGAGCAGAGAGGCAAGCATGCTTACTGTCCATCAGAAAGGACTCTGGTTCTCTTAGCTCAGGTTTCTTCTTCTAGAACTCAACTACCTTGTGAGCAAGCATCCAGCAGGGACCATCCACATTGCCCACGTGGGGCTAGGGGACAAGAAGTGCTGACATAAGTGTATTGATGTTCATGCCCTAGCTGTGAGCAGTAAAGCCCTCTGTCCTGTGTCTTCTGTCAACATCTATGGAACTATTACAGGTTTGGCTTACCTCACAAGCAAGCAAAATCTCAGCACCTTCATATTTCCTGACCAGCTTATATCCTTATTGAATTTCATATTCAAAATACCCTAAAATTAAAATATCTTTACTTCATTTCGTGGATTAGAATGGAAGCAGAGAAGTTAACTCTTCCTAGGTCACAGAGCTAGTTAGTGGTAGAGAGGAGATTTTTGCTCAAGTCTGTCCAGTTCCAGAACCATGGCTTTCCATAACATGTCGGTTCAATTGCAGATGTGAAGGGGCCTATAGTTCTATGTGTGGTACTGTCCCCCCTATTCCCTAACCCCTTGGCCACTAAATGAGCTCTGTTGCTATAATGATAAAAAAGCTCAAGCAAGGAATGGAAACCAATTGAGAAGCATCTTCTCCAAAGGAACATAAACAAGGTATCATCAGGAGTGTCTTCCATGAAAGAAGTTCTCCAATATTTACATAACAGTTGGCTCGAAGCTCTACTTACTGCCCTTTCTTCTGATGCACAGATGAGATCCATTTCCGCACAAGCAGGATGGTCTGAGTCATGTGAATTTCATACAAAATGATGTGTAACTGGAGTAATGGGCATGCTCCAGGATGGCAGATGTCTCCAGCCCCTTCGAAGGGTCCAAACCTTGATAAGCCTATAGCAGCTCCCTTGTACATTTCCACAGTGCATTTTCATCTGTGCCGTTTAATTTGATCTTTGCCTTATCCTTATGATAGTGACCTGCTTCTCTGGTGGCTCCGTATGGTCTGTGGCACAAAACCCCATTTCTTAGACTAAGGGCCCAAGATTCTCTGTGGTCCAGCCCTAGTTTACTCTGTGGCCAAACAAAGTTTCCTTTCCCATCTGAAGCCTTCCTAATCCATTCCATACCTTCGGTGGAACTGGCTTCTCCTTCCATGGTGCTCACAGTTATCTGTATCCCTTCACTCACAGCATCTGTAACTGTGGGCTGAATACAGTGACATGTTCATCTTCTCCATCAAGCCATGGGCCCTTGAGGCAAGGCTGGCTATATCTAGATAAACCACCCATGTCACACAGAATCTATCTAGGTTTGAAATTTCATCATTAAATACTCTTATTTGGGGCTTAAACACTTTTTAAAGCCACAAATCATCCCAGGAGTAAGTAGTACAGATGTTTTGCACATGTTTTGACATGATGTGATCTATCTGATCATTTTCTTCCTTGATAAGAGTGACCTGGGTGGCAAGATTCATGGGCGTTAGTACATGAATGAGATGTGATCAACCTGAAAGTACTTACTGTCTTTATCTTGCTAATCATCCTGCAGGGGGCCAACAGTTCAGGACTCTACTTGGTCACTGACTCCCACCATTGAGAGCTGCCTCTGTCCCAGGCCAGCTCTTGCCAGGGATGGGGATGTTGGCATAAGAGCCCTGGTTATTGTTGGCAGGGGCCAGGCCTGGAGTGCTCTACCCCAGCACTGGGTCATTTCGGGGTCTTTGAGTCCTGGTGCCACCTGCTGCACTCCATGAAGAGCTCTTGCTGATGCTCCTCAATCTGCAGAAGGAAGGAGCCTCCTCTCTCTAGCCTGCTAGTCAGACAGGCCTGGGTTCAAATGCTCCGGTGGCCATTAGAAGCTGTGTGACCTTCAGAGATCACTCCAAGCTTTCTGAGCCTCAGTTTCTATAGGGCTGAAAGGTGGATAAGGCCACTGGCTTGTAAGGACTGTGGTGAGGACAAGAAGAGCACATGCAAAGCAGCTGGCATTTCATACAGAGTGTGCTACCTCCCCCTCCATCTTCTTCTAGCCCTCCTCTCTACTTCTCTCCCTTTTCTCTCCCCTTTCTGCCTTTCCTCTCCACTTCTCTCTGTCCTCAAGAGCTTTTGGAGAACTGGTGCATGCATTTGTGCACATTTGCCCCCACCCGCATTTGTGGCAGACGTGCTACCTTGTGACTCTATGCATCATCCTTTGGGGGAGATAAAGATAAAGAAAGTGTGCTCCCTTCCCAGATGATGCACCATTTATTTGCATACCAGTGTGTTCTAGATGCCTGAGGGAATGTGTGCATGCATGTGCTCACTGGCCTGGTGCTTTTGCCTCTGCAGTTAGCCTGTGACAGCTTCCTCCTCCTGGGGGCATCTGGATAGGCCACCTTGGATGAATCAGCCTGGCAGCATCCATGTCACCCCTGTGCCTGGTTCTGGCTAGGCCTGAGGGCTGAGACTAAGCTGTGCTTCAGTACAGTCTTCTAGGACATTGGATGGGCACGAGGGCAAGGACCAGGGGAAGGAGGTGCCAGTTCTCAGAGAGTAGTCAACACAGGTGGCTCTGGGGCTTTTGCGAAGGATGTGGGGAGGAGCCACCAGCATCTTTTTCCAGGACAGACATCTGTGGTGGCATCAGGCGGCCCAGGTACTCTGGGTTCATCCTTTTCCTGGAGACTTTTTTAAAGCAAGACATGCCTGTGTATGGGTTCTGGGAGCATCCTCTGTGCCCACTGGGCAGTGATCTGTGCTCACAATCCTTCAAGATGAGGCCATATGCCCACATTTTCTCAAAACCCTGAAGTGATATCACAACAGGAAGGGATGTTGGTAGTTGGTTAGTTCAGTGTTTCCCAAATATGTTCTGGGGACTCTTGGCCCACAAGTGTGTAAAATGTGTTTTGGGAAGAAATGGGGTCTCTGGAAAAATACATTTGAGGAATGCTGCTTTCATCCTCCTACCCTCCCATACTCCAAGAGTCACTGCACACATTGGAACACTAGGGATGCCTGAAACTTCACACAGCTTTAACTTTGTTTAACACGTCATTTACACATTTATTTGCACAAGGAACATCCTTTTTGTTTGGGCTGTTTATCACTATTTTGCCAGGCTGTTATTTTATTGATTAGAGTTTGGGACATACGGATGGTTGTAGCTCAACGCTTGATTTTATAGATGAAGTGTGGTGGGCCAGCGAACTCAGGTTACTCAGCAGAAGGTCTCACCCTTTGGCTATCATTAACTTCTTTTCTTCTATTTCTCCCCCGACACCCATGACAACCCTAGAACATCCAGCTATTTTGTTTGGTGGCCATTTGGGGAAGAACTTGGATCCTGCTCTTCTCCTAGGGGAATGATGGAGGACCTTTTTGCTGACTCCTGGTTGTAGAAGGTGCAGCCTCAAGAGATCTGAGTCACAGAGGGCTCCTGGCAGCCTGGGCTGCAGTCTTAAACCTGGACTTGCTGATCTCTGAGTGACTGCTGAGTTGCTGGGAGTCTTAGAAAGACCCTTAAAAGGACCTTTAAAAGACCCTTAAAAAGACCCTTAAAAAGGACGATGGTTAGTAAGTTCATCTTCTCTCCCTGTTACTCATTTTAACCCACTGAGCCACCCAGGCACCCCTCCCTGTTACTCATTTTAAATGACAGTTCTTCTTCTTCTGGAAATGTTTAGAAGTGGTGCAGTAAGGAACTTCCATTATCAATACATATGTACTGCGTATCTAGCACCAATTATTGACTCTGGATGGCAGCACTGAGCACCTGATACGCTTGTTCTTGCCACCAACCCTGAGACTTGGTACTGCAGGGGTTCAGAATGAGTCCCTCAGCATGGACCACTTTGGCACACAGATTACTTTGAGCTGGAAAGAATCAAGGCCCAAAAGACTCAGAAAAATCTCTTACCTTCCCCTTAACTGCCCAAAAGAATTGAGACAGAGGACCTGCTCCAGGAAGGGAACTATCACCATAGATAACTACATTATGATATAACCAGAGGAGGTGGACAGGGAGGAGTTTAGCAAAGTCTGTGTTAAAATTTCTCTCTGTGTCCCATTGTTCCTGAGGGGCCCAGCCAACATTTCTTTACCGAGCATTTACTCTTTTCCACATTCCTATGAATGGACCTTCCTTCCCTTCAAAATCCCATCCACCTACCCTCTTCCCCTTAGTCAGGATGACAAATATACCTCATTTTGCCTGACTGTTTTTAGAATCCCATGTTTATGTGGATTCTCAGGAATTATGAAATTAAATTTGATTTTTCCAGTCTGTTTCATGTCAACTTGATTCTTAGACCAGCCAGAAGGATCTTGAAGGGCAGAATAGAATTTTTCCTTCTCAACACTACCATGGAATCATGTCCATTTGAGGGATGAGAACACTGAAGACAGAAAGGTCAAGTGAGTTGCCCAAGTTCCCAGGACCAGGAAAGGGGATCCAGGGCCCAAACCCAGAGGGATGGCACTCTGCAGTCTATGCCCTAGCCACTGTTATTAAGGGAAGGATTGGTTCACTCATAGTCACTTAACAGGTGTAGTTTTTCTAATATCGCACATTAAAAAATCAATGCTTCAGCCAGTGTCCTGGCAGCTTGTAAGGCCATTATTTCTAGGGGAATATTCCACTCCTTCATTTGTTTCATGAAGCTGGTGCCTGCACAGGGAGAAAAAGAAATCTTGTCACTGGGCCCTCCTTCCCTCAGGGCCTCAGGAACCCTCTCCACTGTCTATGCTGAGGACAGGACAATGGGGCTGGAAGTGGATGGTTCCAGCCCCTCGCAAGCAGACTTAGCGGAGAACACAAAGTTGCACCTGTGAAATGCAAGGCCTGGGTGGTGGTTATCTTTCCCTAGACAATTACAGTAATACTGTTTGACTCTGAATGCTTGGTTACATTTCAAATTTATTTCCAATCATTTAGAGCTGGATCAATGGGAGACAAAGGTGCCTTTTAGCTCTGGCACCTGCTGTTCCCCCCAAATGTCAAGGACTGACATTTGATGCCATTATCCCCAGTCAGCTTACAGATGACTCACTTTCTTGCTTCCCCAGCCCTCAGGCCCACCCGCCCAGCAAGGACTTTCACACCATGCTGATAACAAACTGCACTGTCCAGGAGAACCCAGACTTTCTCCCTCTGGCAGAGCAAAGGCAGGCCTCCTGGGTGGCCACTGCATCCCTGGGTGCCTGGGAGAGGCCTCTTGTGGCTCAGTTCCTTCTTCCCTCTCTCCCCAGGCTAGCACCTAGTGTTCCCAGGCCAGGTGCATATCTTGGGATGAGGTGGGCACTCTCATGATCCGCCTGGTGGTACAGATAGCAGGTGGGGTTGTGGGGTGCATCTTCTCTCGTGGAGTTGAAGGAGGCACTGGGGGAGGCGAGGCCTGGTGCTCCTCAGATGAAGTACTCCTTTCTGCTGTTGTCACCTGTGTCCTGGAGGGAGGGGTCGTCCTGCAGGGCTGCATCTGCACTCTCAGCAAACTCTGTGCCCTTGGCCTCATTGGTGTGGTAGGTCCCCTTATGTCTGTACATGTAGCGTAGCATGACGATGAAGAGGCAGATCAGGACGATGGCTACAGCAGCGATCACGCCTGCAGGAGGAAAGCAGTGCATGGCTCTGTCTGAGACAGGCTTGTGGGAGGGGGTCAGGACACACAGGGCTAGTGGCAGAACAGACATTCTGCTGCAATAAACACCACCCCCAGACACTGGCTCATTCCTGCCCAGAGTGCACTCACCCTTATCTGTGCCCATTGAATTACCCCTCTCTCCCCTCCTGCTCCCCCATCCTCCACTCACTGTGGTGCAGACTGAGGCTGGAAGAGGATTCCAGAACTTACCCTAACTCAGGGACGCTCAGTCTACTGAGGAAGACAGACCTCTGTGCATAACTTGCAGAATGAACTATGTGAGTTTATCTAAAACTGAGGGGTTCATGAACCTCAGGACTTTCAGTTTTAAAACCAGAACAATCCCAACTGAGAAGTGCCCTGGCGGACGAGACTTGGTGCTGAGAGTGGCCAGAAGGCTGGGCCCTGGTGGCTGCCCCCTGTGCACTACTGGGGGTACAAAACAGGGCCATGAGAAACCCTTGAGACAGGTTGGACGGAGTGGAGTTCACTGCTTATCACCCTATCTGAGCTCCAGCACATTCTCCAGAGGTGCGTGAGTCTGGCTGGGGAGCAGTGACCAGTCAAGCAAAGGACTAAAGAAGGAGAGGATTCTGGAGGACGCCATGTAAAGGCATGGGGTGTGGGTGGAAGTCAGCCCTTCATTTCTGTTTGGGCTCATGAGCAGTTGGGAGAAGAGACTTGAAATCTGGGCAGTAGGGCCCAGGTCATTCAGAGCCTGGGAGTGCTTGGGGGAGGAGGACGCTGGCAAGTTTTAGAGGGGCTTAGGTCCCTCATGCAGCCTCACCCTCATTCAGGCATTTGCTCTGAAGTCTCAGGCAGGTTCTCCCTGCGGAGTTCCCTCTAACCCTCCTGGCTTGGAGGCCCGAAACAGCTCACCTGCAATGATGGCGATGTTCGCCCTCAGAGAGGGGAAAAATGGGCCAGGGTCGAGTTCTGCGAACAGAAGAGAAAAGCCTTAGTGGGGAGAGAAAATCTTCCCATACTTGGCAGCACCCCAGCCTTGCCTGCACCCCCTGCTCACAGGCACACAGCTCTTGAGCAGGCCGAGTGGACAGGAGGCAGTGTGTGCCTGGCCAGGCTTCTGGCTCTGCCTGGTCCCTGGCAGGTCTGGAGATAACGTGTGAACCGCAGTGGAAAGGACCCAGTTCTGGCGTCTCTGCAACCATGCGAGTGGGATGAGGGATGGGCTCCTGCACTGGGCAGACCCTGGATAGACATGCCTGGTGGTGGGCATGAAGGTGGGCAGTAATATGCCTGGTGCCAGCACCACCGGACTTTGGGCCTCAGCTTTTCTCACCATAATGGCAAAAACAGACCATTTGTGAAGTGTCCCCACATGTGGAGGGTCTGTAAATGCCAGGTGTTGGTTTAGTTGCCTTTCACCCATCCCGTCATGTGGTCTTCGCAGCCATCCCATGAGGTGTATGGTATTACTAGCCATTTCACAGGTGTGACCCTGAGGATCAGAGAACGACATGCCCAGAGTCACACAGCTCGCCAAGTGGTGGGCCTGGACTTAGCTCACACTTTCACCTCTGGGGTGTACTTTCTTTTTTCTCTCTTGAAGATGCCCCTCCCAGGAGGGCTCCTGTCTGGAGGCTCTTCCCAGAGTCCCCTCTGTGGTCTCTGATCGGCTCTTCTGTGGGAAGGGCCGCCTGGGGTGCTACCAAATTATTGAGTGTGTTTTTCCATAGGGCTCCTGTCTGGCCGCAGGGCTAGCATCTCAAGGACAGCAGGCACCTGCACATCACCTCCAGTGGCTTCACAGAGTGTCTCCTCTCTCCTCTGGGAGATGAGTGAGAGGAAGTATTTATTAGACCACAGAAATAGCAATGTTAACATGGAAATCCCATGTTCCTATTACAACGGCTATGCATATTAAAAGAGAGAAGGCTACTTCATAATATTCCTTTCCGTTTAGATAATCACTTTAATTATAGTCAGATGAGGTCATTCTCCCCAGCACAGCTTCCAGATGCCTTTTTCTGATAAGAAACCAACTGTGGTGCCAGGAAGGACAGTGCGGAGAGCCAAGCAAAGGCTCCAGGCTGGAGACAGAGGAAGAGAAAAACAGCCTGGAGGGCGGAAAGAGGTTAAAAGAGGTCCTCAGGTCAGCAAGGAGAGCAGGCACAAGCAGGAGTCAGGGCAGCGGCGGGGAGGGGAAGGCAGGAGGAGCAGTCAGGTCAGCTTCTAAGTGCTTCACCATAGTGGGAACTCAGGTTGGAGGGGCAGGAAGTTCAAGCAGCATCGGACTCTGAGATCTAGGATGGACAGGAGCAAGCTAGAATTTAGTATGAAGTCCACAGAAGGTGCTCCATGGACACGCACTGAATGATACCGCAGAAAGAAATGCCTGTACGTGTGTGTACACCCACACAAGTGAGCAGATTCAGACGCTAGCCTTGTAGACCTTCCTCAATCACAAAGCATCTTATGCTTCAGTAAGAAGAAAGAGTGGCCCCTTCCTTAAGTCTGTGTGGATGGTCACAGAAGTTCAAACATCCAGAATTGCCACTTGGAATGTTCCAGGCCAAGACCAGCATTTCTTATGCCAGTTTGTCCAACCCAGTCAGGGATAGAAGGGACTCCTGTTCTGTTTTCTTTTAAAAGCAATTCACAGTTGATTACCACGTGCCAGGTACTGTCCTCAGCATTTACCAGGTTTTAACTCATTTAGTCCCCACGGCAGTCCCATTCAGAAGCAGTGACTATTTTTCCCATTGTACAGATCTGGAAGCTGAGCCCCAGAAAAGTGTTATTGTTTTTCCTGGATCATACAGCTAAGAGAGTCAGGAGTCCACCAACTCAGGCCGAGGCTGCCCGGAGTCAGTGTGCTTACCCCTGCAGGCACTGCCCAGGGAGGGGGTCTGGGTTGGCAGCTTAAGGAACAGATGAGGTATTTGGCTTGAATCCATTGGGGTGAACTTCTTAACTTGTGTTTGGAACCCTGTACCCAAACCCATATACTGGAACACCGGAAGCCCTCCCAGCAGGCCAGTGAGCTGGGGGCTGGAGGGACCTCTGGCCTCTGAGGGGTCATTAGTTGAACCCCTAGCAGGGCTCCCTCTGAACTCACGTGCACTCAGGAGCACAGTGGGCAGGGACGCCTGATCTCCATGCCCCAGCCCTCCAGCTGTGTGGAGCTGAATTTGCACACTGTGAGCGCCCCCAGACACTTCAGCATGACAGGAACGGCCACAGAGGTCAGAATCGACACAGAGGAGGCAGCTCAGGCCTGTCTGGGAAGATGGGGATGGTAGAATAAGTGGTTCTCAAAGTGTGGTCCTGGGACTAGCAGCATTTCCTAGGAATCTGCTAGAAAGGCAAATTCTTGGGCCCCATCTCAGACCTGTGGAATCAGAGGAGGGTGCCCCACAATCTGTGGTCACAGGCCTCTAGGTGGTTTGATGATTGTTCTGTGTTGAGAACTGCTGGTGGCGAGAAAGCTCCCAGAGGGAAGTCCTTACGATTGGCTCTTGAAGGATGAATGAGAGTTTCTGCACAGACAGGAGTGTAAGCATTCCAAGCAGAGATCACAGCACCCAGAACAGTGCTCACCTCTCCCGAGCCCTCACTTTCTCCCTGAATGTCTGCTCACCATCCATGGTGCTGAGGCTCTGGAAGCCTGTGCTTTGATCTCTCACCTCTGGAGATGGTGGGGTGAGGACCGTCATTGGCTCTGCTCCCTTGTCCTGCTTCCTTTTAGCCAGCAGGAATGATAAGGGACATTTGGAAAGGCTAGCTGGAGTGAGCTCCATTCTGCCCAGGAAAGTGACGGGTTAGTGTGCAAGCAGATTGCAACCCTGGAATGAAAGCCCACCTCTAGCTGGGGTTGAAGGGTGAGTATGTGATTGGAGTTAGCATCATTCTGAGCCCAGGAACTGGGGTGAGGGGATTAATGGGCAGCCTTAGTGGGTGCATTTATGGCAGAGCAAGGTGTTACTTATGACTAGGCGTGGGACTGAGATCAGAAGTAAGCCACTGTGCAGCCCTCAGATTGGACAGGCATGGGAGCCCTCCACCCTTCTCTAGAGATCCAGGGTACGCTGTGATTTTCCTCCTTGTCTCCCCTCAAGGTTGTAACGCTCCCCACCAGACAGAACACTCTAAAAGCCCCAGAAGCACACTGACCCCAGTGTGCACAAGCCCCAGAAGCACATTGGCTACAGCTCTATGCTCCACATCGGGCTATGCTCCTGGGACCCAAGAACAATTATTGAATGGTATTTGAAAGCCTGGTCCCTTCGGGGGAACCTAGAGTCGAACTGCACTTTGCATTGTCCACCTTGTTGTGAAGACAGCTTTTGGTTCAAGTCTTGGTGTGAGTTTCACAGCTGCGTATTCAGCAAAGTACTTGATATTGACTGGCTTTAGCTTCTTTGTATGTAAAACAAGATTAGCAATACCTGCCCCTGTGGTAGGGATTAGAAATGACATGCCCACACATGATAAATATTTTATATATGTTTACTGAGTTGTAGTCACTTTTTTTTTTTTTTAAAGAAAGGCAAACTGCCACATGTGGCACCTCATTTGAACGTGTCTGGAGTCTTGGAAGCTTGACGACCCTACATTCCCCTAAAAATAGTCCTCGAGAGCTTGACTGAAGGTTCTAGCAGGGGAACTCAGCTACTCATATACCTTCAACTGAAGAACCATCCTCCTCTATCAGGGAAGGTCGTCCTCTTCTACCAAGGGCGTGGCTTTGGGAGGGAAGTACAGGGAGACCTGAGGAAGGAAGGGGACACCGCCTAGATAGCCAGATCCACTGAATCAACCCTGGCAATCAGCAGGGGGACAGATGTTGCAGCGAGATCACCCTCACATCCTGTCACCACTAGTTTGATCTCATTCTTATTATTACTCTGCTTTGCACATAATTCAGGGCCAGTCAACTAAGCGACCTGCTAACAGATGTTGTGAGTCCAGGCAGAGAATGGATGCTAGTCATGGATTCCCAGCGCAGTCTTGGCTGACAGTCAATCACCATCTGGGTGCTGAGTGTCTCTGTGTTCCCAGCAATACCATAGGGACAGAGGAGGTTCCAGGAAACAGAATGAGTCTCTAACCTCAGGGGGCTTATGGTCTCCCTGGGAGGTATGACTGTGACATACAACTTATTTAAGTTAGTGTTGTCAAACAGTAAATCCCAACCCGCTGGTGGTCCCAAATAGAGGGAGTAGGGTGGGGAGAGAGAGAGGAGTAGAGGAAGAGAGAGAGAGAGAAAGAAGGAATGGGTGGGGGGATAGAGAGAGAGAGAGAGAGAGAGATGTTCAGAAACCATCAGGTCCTATCAGAGGCAGCCAGGGGAAATACTGTTTGGTGGGGCTTTGATTTCATTTGTGCGCATACAACAAAAACATCCACCATACTGTTTGGAGGCCATGGCTTAAACCACAGCACTCTAAGAGGGAATAAAACAAATCCCTAGTCCTGCAGTGCTGGTTCAAGTAAGCCCAACTACAAGCAGGCAGATAGTCAAGAAAGCACGGCTTCACCCTGACAAAAGCTGGTATGGCTACGGCAGTAAGGTGGCCATGTTGCGTGACAGCTCTGGGCTTCCGAACCCCTGATATGGCCAGCCACAGTCCTCACCACAAGGCTAGGGCCTGGGTCATGTGCCAAGTGCAGGGATAACAGATGCTTCCTGTGAGCTGAGCTGGTGAATCTTCAGAGGGAGAGGAAAGGGAACGGCCATTGCAGCCCCAAACTCCTGTTCAGGGAAACTGCCCTCCCACGGGGGAAGGGGTAGGATGGTGAGTGAGAGGAATGCTCCCTGATTATGGAGATGAGACCACATAGCCTGGGGTTCAGCCTTGTGAGCCTCTGGAGGAAGAGAAACACTGCAGGTTCTCTGTGCATAGAAACTCTGGGCAAAGTTTCTGTGGAAGTTCCCTCATTTAATCCTGCAGCAGAAGGGGAGTTTCCTCCCT